GAAAATGGACATATAGAGAGGAAAATCTTTTCCTCTGCCTTGGAAGTACTCTGTCAGCGTGAGCACTGTGCGAACTTCCTCTCGGCAGCTGGTGCCTGTGGCCTTTGCTCCTGGGATGGGGCCATGCTGAGAAAGGAGCCAGAGCAGCAGAGAAGTTTCTTTAGCCTGAGGTGCTCTCTTCCCAGCCAGGCAAGAAGATTTGGCTTTAGTTTGTCTTGGGAGAGAGGCTTATTGGTAGATCTGGACTCTGTAGGATGAATGTTGCTTAAAAATGACATTTTCCTTCTCCTGGGTAAGGCAGGCATGCAGGCTTGCCCCACAGGACAGCAGCGTGCATCCCCTCTGCTTTGAGAATCTGGGTTTCTGTTAGGTAAGGGGAAAGTGACTTAGTGTGGAGGTAATGTGTTTTCCAGTCTCAGTAGGTGAAAGGCTTTGATGGATAATAAAGTGTGCAAGGCACGAAAAATGCTACTTATAGATACTGTCTGGAGAAGATGTGGTATTTTGTAGCCTCATGGCTTCTAAGATTGAATTCTGCTTCATTTTTGATTGCAAAAATGCTGTGCTATGATTACTGAGACTCAGGAAAATAACATTTTAAATGATGAAATAGTACCAGGTATATAATTTGCCTCTGGCTTTTTTTTGCAACTAAAAAGCAAGCTACACAAAGCCTCTTGAAGAGAATAACTTAGATGGGCAGTTGATCTTATTAGCACCTGAATAGATGAAGAAAAAATGAATTCTGCACCAGTATTGTAAAAGTAGATGTTCAACTCCTTTGACCGGGGATGAAAGAGATGAAAAGGGATAACAAAGATAACTTAAAGGCTATATTAGCCCCTTCATGGTTGAACTCCAGAGGGGTGGTTGCCAGATCAATTTCTAGCTGTGGCCAAAAACCTCTTGCTGGTGCACAAAAATTACCCCAAAATCTAGGCTGACAGATGAAACTCAAATGGATTTTCCTTGGCTAAAATCTTCCCCACCTTCACATGCTGATATGTTGCCTGTCTCATTACTGATGGATGTATTATAAGTTAAGAAACAGGAGGAAGAAATAAAAGCGAAGAAAAGTCCTGTAACTACAGAGAAATGCAATCATTTGAGAATTTCTTGAATGGTAAATGCACTGATGTCTTAGAAGTTTAGATACCATGGTGATAGTTGCCTTAGCAATGTTTTAGCTGTGTAGGTAATCACAATCAAACATGTCTCTTGTGGTAAAATGAAGCTGTGATATTTACTTTTTTGCAAAGCTTTTGTGAATGTGCAGTAATGTAGGTTATGATTTTGTATCTAGGCATCAGTTTTTCTCTCAAGCTCCTTGTCCTTGGCATTCTTTTATTTTTCACTGATGATAATTCTGAAAATAAATGTCTTTCATACTGGGCTTTGCACATTTTACTCACCCAAGGATCCTATCTCACTGTTTTTGGGGTGAGACAGGGTCACTTTTAGAGGTTGTGTTCAGTTTCACATCTTTTAAAAGCTAGATCAGCCTGAGTTGCTGTAGCTGTAACTCAGCTAACCTGAGTTGCAGATTTACTCCTCATGTTTCCACAGCCACACACATCATTAAAAATCTGTATATTTTCATAGCGGGTGCTCAGACAAACGAAATATTGTGAAAAATGGAACAAGTTGGCAGATATTTCAATTATGATTTACAGAGTGTCTTAATAAAATCAATATGTAAATATATAAAGTGAGACCGAAGACAAGAGCAATTATCTTTTCCATTTGCAGTTGAAGCTGTTTATATTTCAGAATTATCCATTAGAATGGAAGGCAGTTTGGGATTAGTATAGGCTAAACTGGCCATCCGTTGGGCAGCAGGCTCCCAGAGATGGCAAAATAGTCCTGGGAAGAGGCAACTATGGAGCCCTGCACTTATTTTGCCTGTGGAGGAGGTTGTCAGAGCAGCGAGCGCTGCCTGAGCCGCGGCTGTCGCAGTCGGCCAGCACAGCTGGCCACCCCGGCCACAGCGCTGAGGTGCTGGAGGGGCAGCGGTGGCCCCCATGTGGTGTGCGCTCGCCCTCCCGACACCTCCAGTCGCTGATCCCAAGGTGCAGGAGCAGCGATCCTGGCATCCCAGGACTCTCCCTCTGCGCTTTTTTTTCTGGGGACATTGAATTTTGTTGCTGCCTAGGTCATGGAGAAGCTCGGGGCCAGCTCAGCAATGGTGCCTTTGGTATTACATCAGGCGTGCTCATGCTCCTTACACCAGCTGGTAAAGGGGGTTTGTTCATTTAGGCAAAAGTCTGAGGGAGAAGTACTATCCATTTAAAATGGAAGTGTCTTCGGGGTTTTCTTACTGCATACCAAGCATGTCCAGAAGTGGAAGCACTGTAAAGGGAATAACTTTGTGCCTTCATTCTTCTGGTAATTCCAGCACTGTCCCCGCATTCCCTTTCTTTTTTTCCCCCTTTCAAGAAAACCGAGAAAGAATAAGTAAGCAAAGGCTTATGTGGATGTTTTCCAGGCTGCTAATCATGGGAAGACCCAAATTAGTCAAACTGCTTGTAAGGACCGGTGAAGAACCCTCAAACTCCACACCCCTACAAAATCCCCTATTACAACCCCAATAAAGACCACCAGAATAAGCCCAATACCACAACCCCAAACTCACCAATCCCCTCAAGCCTGAGAGTAAGGATCAGCAGTCAGTCTGATTTAGATTTGGCTAGCAGGGCTACGGTTGCTTGGAGCCAAGAACTGCATTTGTGAGGACTTGTATGTTTAGTCTTTTCTTTCAGGAGCCTCTGTTCCCTCCTATATTGTGAGTCTGGGAGAGCTCAATGCTGCACAAAATCATCACTAACTTTTTGTTGCTTCCATTTCTGGTGATTTCTCCTGCTGGGACTGAAGCAGAGCCTGTTTCCTAATGCTCCTTTTGCCCCCCAGCCCTGCAGTTTTACCTGTGTTGTCCTGTGCTGAAGTTGCTGGAGGGAGGAGTGGGGACGTGCTCCAAAAAGGCTGCTCTCCCCTGCTGTGGGACATAAGAGGTTGACAGTCCTGTTTCCTAATCTCTTGCTATCCTCTGTGGTGGATTTGGCACTTTGCATTTAAATATTCCAGTAATTAGATTCCACAGCATGAGTTTAAACCAGAATGTTCTTTAGCTTGGTCTTCATTTATCTGTGCACTTTGTGGGATTCTGAAGTGTTTTTATAACTTTTCACACCGAATTTTAATGATCAGATTATAAAAGCTTTTTGACTGTTATGCACTAAGTTTTATTATAATCACCATTAATAATCATGTAATAGAACCTAATTTTCATCAAGGTTTGGTTCACATTTCATAAATGCCACTAGCAACTTGTGAAATGGCATGTTCTCTTCATAAAACTCAAGTATCTGATCTGATGAAGGGCCATCAGCTGTGGAAGAGCTTTAATGTGACAGCAGCTTTCCAAGGGAGTCTTCCTGCTCGGAAGAGAGCAGTTGCTGCAGTGAGGCTGCAGGCATTGCAGTTGCAAGAGAAAATCACAGTGAAATGGTGAAATAGTTTTACTATAACCCTAGCAGACTCTGCCCCGTTACTGGGCCAGGGAAGTTATTTCTGAACTGGTAGCTCTTTTGCCTGCTACAATGCCAGCAGAGGAGTGTGATAAACAGGATAGCCAAGCAGACTGCCATCAAAAGTGATTGTGCTTCTAAAAGTGCTTTGGGATTGTTCATGTCTGAAGCGAGATGATCAGCGAGGGCTGGGAGCTTACTAATTATGCCTGGTTCGTAGAGTTAGCGAGTCGCTTAGTGGCTGCTGGAGATTTCGCTGTTCTTGCTAAGCTGAAACGAGGCCTGATGTGAAGCTGTGGCAAGCGCTGCTTCTCCACCCAGATATGAGCTATAGTACCTGGTGCCATAGGAGATACGCGTTCTCTCTCTGTGCATGAAAAGAAAGGCCATTTTTACTTTTGCCGACAGTCAAGAGCTGCTAGAGGAAACTCTTGGTAGTTCACAAATATTACCTGTCTGACAAAACTCAAACTCTGCTGTATGTTTTGAGCCCATGCACTGACACCGTATTAGTAGATTGTGGGAGAACTTCTCTGTCTTTGGGCATATGACGAAGAGAACTAAGGAAAGTCACTATAATAGTGTTTGCGCTTCAGCTTTGCTCTAGGCAGAGGTTAGAAAAGGATATGAGGAATCACTGGCTAGGTCTATACTAATGAATAAAATGAACCAGGGCTCTTCTCTGGCCCTGATGCCAGCTGTCTCATCGCAGTGCATGTCTATATGCCTGTGGTGTCTTTCCCCCTTCCTGGCACGCGCTGGTTCCATGCACCCAGGCATAGTGTGGCAGAGGCCATGGCCACGCCAGGGGACATGCCAACAGCTGAACGGCCTGTGAGATCAAGGGTCAGTCCCTGAGACCTGATTTAGTTCACTAGCAAAGACAGAGATCTTAACTCTAGTTCTCTTTATGCCGTTTATAGTAAGCAAATAAATCTTCTCTTCAAATTTGGCCAGAATTTTGTTTCCAATCCTACTCCACTAATGCTAAAAGGACCACAAATCTGAGTTAATTCTTCCTGGCATAAGCTGGATTCCATGTGTACAGGTCTTCCAGAACTGGTGTTTATGTGTTTCTACGCTAAAAATCAAGACTCGCTGACAGCACTGTGTCTGCGTTTGTTTCTCATTAAACAGTCAATGTGCCAGCCCTCACTAATCCAGAGATGATTGTGGCTTATTCTGTGGGATAAGCCAGTGCAAGTTTCTGGGAAATTTGTGGGAGAAGATCATGTTAGGCTAAAAGGTAGAAGACTCATCTTTTGAGGTATTTCAAAACTTTTATAATGGCTATTTTTGAATTGTCAAGGCCCTTAAAATGTTGGAATTATTCCTGGTGGAAATAAACCAACCAGAGAATATCCAAAGATGCATGAAAAATCTACAACTTGGCATTTTGGTCCAACATGCTTGTACCAAAGCAAACACTGGGTCAATTCCATTTAGTTCTAATATGTTTGTTTTCACTTTCTTTAGGAGAAACTCCCCCAGGGACAGATGTACTTGGAAAACAAGGATGACAGTACGATTTCTAGAAAACAAGAGATGGAGCTGAATCAGACATCTCGATCTATAGACGCCAATCTATCTGCAAAGGTTGCAGCCAAACCAGTGACCAGAAGTTGCAATGAGCTGCAGCTATTAAAAGAATATCACGGCATGGTAGCAGCTCTCGGAGAGCCACAGACCCTTTGTGAAAACACAGCAATAGGGGATGATTGCTGTGTTGCACTGGGGAAGGATTTCACTCCTCTCCCCATGCAGGGAAGGTAAGAATAAGGACAAGCAGCATAATTTTCTCCTAATCTCAGTTAATTTTTATTTCCTTGCTGAGCAGATACGTATTTTCGTTAAGCAAATGTGGTTTCTACCAGGTAGAGAACAGGAAGCTTAATGGGACTTTGGAGAAGTCTTAATTGCCTGAGGAGGGTCATGGATCATCAGATTTCTGAACTAATGTCAGCTTTAATAGCAACTGTGGGTCAATTTTGCTGTATTTTCAAAATCAAACAGCTGGCTTTTCTTCCGTGCTTGGTCCAGAGAAAGCAAAGTGTCACAAAACACACAGAGCTAAAGCAGTTTTCATGCCCCACCCCTATCTCTTCCAGAAAGGTGCATACAAGTTTCCAAAGTGCATCATAAAGCCTTAAACTGCATCACTACGGCTGAGTCTGGGAACATAAAAATGATGTTAGTAATGCAGCTGTGCCAGTTATCAGCACACCACAGTACGAAGTGTACGAGGAGTGAATGCCACGAGGAAAGAGGCAGGCTTGGGGCAGGAGGAGGGTTCATTTTTTTTCCTGTTGCAGCAGATCTTCTAAAAATCAGAAATTCTACTTGTAGGTATTCAAAAATGTTTTGCAGACCCCGAAATATTGTAGATGACTCTTTAAACCTTTCTTGCTCATGCGTTCATTTTGCTAAACTGCTTTGCTACTGGGACTGAACAACCCTTGCCCCAGAAGCAATCACCCCATGTGGAAGGCACTGAGGATCACTCTAAACCTTTTTTGGTAGGTTTGAAAGTGTGCAGAGGTGACTTGACAGACTCTAAAGTGAGAGAAAGGCTGTAATTAATCTACGCTCCTGCAGAACAGAGGCCTTGAAATGCTGGCTGATGGTTCCTGCATCAGGCAAGATGACTTAACTGCAGCGATGAAGTAAAGTGTGAGCAAAATTGGCGGGACCCGAGTCTGGAAACTCTGTTACACTGCTAGAAAAGAAGAAAAGACGTGGTAGATTCCGAGGCAGTTTAATGTTTAAATCAGGTCAATTTTTTTTATTGAATGAAATGAAATAAATACCTAAATACAATGTATTTAATTATTTAATTAAAGTAGAGCAGAAATGTAAATCAGTTCAGAATCCCAACTTAAGTCTTATCTGTAGTCGGTTAGATGTTTTTCATCTGAGGAACAGAATTTTCTTTTCCTTTCTCTCTGTTCTCTTTATCTGGTTCCTCATGGTAGTTTCTGTGTTGGTGAGGCGCTGTCCCAGCTGCTCCCCATAGCTTCGGGCATGCCAGCCACTTCCCTGCAATGCCATACAGGGCTGAGGTGTGCCCTGGGCTTCTACAGGTCATTTAGAAGGAAATCTGTTTGTGTTGGGAGGAAAGGAGGTCTGAGGCATTTTGGTAGGTTCCCTCATCTGGACAAGGGGGAACCAGGATAGCCAGCTGAGCTTTGGTGTACTCCTTCTCTACAGTGTAAGTGTGCCCTGTAAATCTAGAGTAAACCAAGTGAAGTGAACTAAAAAGTTCACTTGAACCAAGTCAAGTTTATATGCATCAGAGAGTGTTACCATATAGCCTTCAGAATGGGAACTGGAAATCGTTATGGCTACATTTTCCACATATTAAAAACAAAACCAAAAGAAATTGACAGCTTGACCACAAAAGCCATATAAATCCTTTAAAAATGTTTTTTAGGGTATGTGAGGATTTACTATGTTGACTAAGAGCTTTATGGGCAGAATCAAATCTCATAAAAGTTCTTCAGTTCAGCATGTGGCGGGGATGAGAGAGTGTGAGCATGAGAGCATGAGCGTAAGCTGATGTCCTGTTTTGAAAGAGCACAGTAAATGCCATGTATATGGGAGAATAGAAAGAAGGATGGGAAAGGGAAGGGCTGGGGTCAAACTGGAACCATATTTTTTTCTTTTGGGAAGTCTCATATATATCTTGATAAAGACATGCTTAATATTGCTTTTAAGTGTCCTGTTAACTGCTCAGTCACAGAACTGAAAGATACAATCATATTCTCATGGACCAACTGTCACCCTTCTGGCTAAAATTCTTCATGCAGTGGGTCATATTATTTCATGCATCAGCTATGAGCAGGTTATTGTGAACTTGTGAAATCACAGGAACTTACGAAACCACAGGAGATCGTAGTCACAGGATCAGAGATGAAAAATACTTAATAAACCAGGCATGAGTAAGCACAAGTGCAAGTGCAAGTGCTTGCAAGTGCAAGCAGTACCTCCAAGTCTTTTTGCTAACACGGTTTTCCTATTAAGTAAAATGTAATCACTGTGAGTGATTTAGGAATGGATGTACAATTAAATACCCACCTTCATGTCATCTTAAAGAATTTTGTATGTAATTTTTTAAAGTAATATATTAGGAATTGGGAAAGGATCTCCTGAAATTTCTCCTTAGTTGGTCTTTACCTCACTTGCTCCTCCAATATAATTGTTTTTTTTTTTCCTACATGGATATGAATCTTATCTGGCTCTTCTTAGTGTGTGCCAATGCACGTAAGGGACAATTTTGCACCAAGAGCTGGGTGACTTCAGTTCTGATCTGGGTTGACTCTGCTAGTAGAGTAACTGTCCTTAAATCAGTGGGACTACTTAACATAATGCAAGTAAAATATGGATAAACTTTTGCAGACTCACAATTTGTTTGATTAGTTTCAGTAGAATGACATTTAAGTTTCAAAGTTAATTGTTCTTTTGCTTGCGAAAGAAAACTGCTAAGCATTAAGAGAACTGGGGAGACCAAATCCTTCTTTTTTTCATAAAAAGATTCAGTAAACTGGCATGTCTGTATAGTTTGTTTTAATAAAACTATTTAACTTAAATTGCTGAATTATCTTTCACGGATAAGATTCTCAGAGTCTCTAAATTGTTCAAATGTATGCTGAGACAAGAAGTTCCCAAGAATCTATTTAACAAAACAGAGGATTTATCTTGATCACTAAAACTGTCTTTAAGAAAACATTCTTGTTAACTGGGGCCCTTTATTCAGGGAAATAGATGTCCACCATATACCTGACTGAATGTTTTCATTTGACTGATGGGTAATCCTGCAGGTATTTTGTGGTCAGTGTGCACACTGTCTTAGCCTGGCTCAAGGCCCTGCCTGTCAAAACATCTTCTCATTTCCATCTCATACTGAAGAACAGTATTACCTAACAAATCTTTTGCTGCATTGCCTTAGACTCCTTGGGCTCTGTATGAAGTCTGGATCATCCACTGTGATCACTCTGATGACTTTGTTATTCCCGAGTATCCTTCCCGCTGAAATAAGCCTGTCAGCCTTCTTAGGAACGCCTTGCTTTCCGTATTGCTCACTGTAGGAAATGTAGGCATGTTTCTTGAAAGTGGACTACAAATTAGCTCCCAAGGAGTTCAGTGGGAAGGCATCTGACCTGGGTATATATTTACACAGAATATATACTAGTATATTTATCTATTAGTACATATTTGTATGCTACTGTAGTTTTCACACAGTATAGTTTACTCTGTGGGAAATTCAGGCTTTAAATTGGCAAAATGCCAGTGAAATCTGGATTTTGATTTTGTACTTCTCCTATTGTCCTTAGCCTTTAAACAATGGATTGATCAAGCTCTTTTTTATTACAGTTAACACTTCCTTACATGAAAGTGTCTTTTGCAGTCCATAGACACTGGTCCAAGCCACCTACCTGAATCTCTTGACTTGCAGGAAGATTTTACACTGCTCTGTGGCAGCATGGGTGATGCTCTTCAGGCTGGCCCTGACAAATTTCCAAACACTCAGGCAACTTCCTTCCATTATTTCTCTGTAGACCTGTTCTCACAAGCTGTCATCACAGAGGAAGGCCCCTCAGTAGCCCTAATCTCACCATCAGCAGTGCTACTCCCACAGGTGATGCCTAATGCCATGGCTTTGTATCAACAAAATCTGAAGTTCTCCTTTATGAGCCTCAGAAAGGAGGCTGATGTCAGTTTTCAGCTTAGGAATTAGTGAGCCTCAAAGGCTATTTAGAAATGAGATGAACAGTAATCCTATGTAGCTAATTATTTTGAGATGGTATTTAAGACTATGTTATTGAAAAAGAGAAAAGCATTTTTTGGAATATAAAAGTGGTGGAACAGTGGGTAATAGAGTAACTACACCCTGTGGCATTTATTTCACATTGCCCTTTAGGTTGCTTTCGTTTCTTGATGTAACTGCTGGCTGTAATCGCTTTAGGTGGTCAGATAATAATATTATCTTTTTAAAAAAAAATTGGCAGTTGTCATTCATTGTGTTGTGGACCTTTCAAGAGAAGCAAGACTGTAAAAAGAAGATGATGAAACCAAGCCTAAATTTTACTCCATTGAAGTTATATTTGGATGAATTTGGCTCTGGAATGTCCTGGTTGTTTAATATAATAGTCTTTGGAAGTCTTTTCTTTAACCTTTCTGCCTCATTAAGAAGATTCCTCTCTGGGATAACAAAAATAATCTCTTTTTCTGAAATCTGCTTGAATTTTTATTTCATCAGGCAAAATTATTTCCCTCACCATATCTGCATTCTCTCAGCTTCACTTATGTAAGAATAAGCAAAAACTATCACCCAAATCCAACTCTTCCTTTCCTCTGAATCTGTGATCCCAGGATCAGTAGATAAATTGGTTTGCAATGAGTAGGTGAGTGAATTGAAAATGTCTTTTGAATTCTTTGGTCTGCATCAATCCAAAGAAAAGATTGCAAGCGTATTTCCGATTGGTTGGAGAAGCTGGGAGAAGATAAGCTATTGTACAGTGAAAAGTCAATATGAAAGTAAAGTTATGCCTTTAGAAGTGAGAGATTATAAATCTCAAGTTTGATTTTTAATTATGTTGATGTATTGCTACTTTTAAAGGATATTTATGAGACTTACAATAAGATGTCAAGAAGACATGGTTACTGTCTAAGTAAGTAAAATTTATGTGACAATTTAAAAGCTTCCTCAGACACAGGAAAAAGACTGAGGAAAAAATAGCTCAAAAACATTCAAAACACATTTTTATGAGTG